AAGTAATTGTGTGTGTGTGTGTGTGTGTGTGTGTGTGTGTGTGTGTGTGTGTGTGTGTGTGAATAATAATAATGATAATTAACGGTTTATTGAAAAAATTCTGCAGCCCGAAGGCTGAAAATATACATTGGACATAAATGACTTATTACATACATTGGTGGTTTAACAAAAGCCTTCATTAAAGAAAGGTAAAGGAACATACAGTGAACATACAGATTAATGTAGGTGTTGAACAGCAAACTCGTAGTGTAGTAACTCCCTCCCAGATGGTGTTAGGAGGAACTCACGTGGTGTAGTAGTTCCCTCAGATGGTGTTATGAGGGACCTGGCGTGGTGTAGTAATTCCCTCGCAGATGGTGTTATGAGGGACTTCACGTGGTGTAGTAATTCCCTCACAGATGGTGTTATGAGGGACCTCACGTGGTGTAGTAATTACCTCACAGATGGTGTTATGAGGGACCTCACGTGGTGTAGTAATTACCACACAGATGGTGTTATGAGGGGCCTCACGTGGTGTAGTAACTCCCTCACAGATGGTGTTATGAGGGGCCTCACGTGGTGTAGTAATTCCCTCACAGATGGTGTTATGAGGGGCCTGACGTGGTGTAGTAATTCCCTCACAGATGATGTTATGAGGGACTTGACGTGGTGTAGTAATTCCCTCACAGATGGTGTTATATGAGTGAGGTTTGGTCTTAGGCCTTCCTATCGTAGACGGATTAACACATCGCTGGTTGTTGTTGGGTCTCACGGGCCGTTATCACTGGGTACCTGGGACCTCACTGTGTGAAGGTTAACTTGGGTACGACTGTTACTGTTGAGTTGTTCTCACTGACTTAAGCACTGTTCACCACTGTTCACCTCTGTTTAACACTGGTTCCGTTCCTTTCCTAAATGAAATTGTAACTTCTGGCGAGAACTTGTTGATATTCCGGTGGGGAGGAGGGTTCAGGGGAGGGGGTTGGTATGGGCCAACTTAACAGTTGACCTGGCTGCTCCGAGAGGAGCGCCAGGTACGTCTTGACCCTTCGGTGGTCAAGGATGTAGTGTGTGTGTATGTGTATGTCTTCATATGGCAAGAGTCTATCAAGCTATACCGGTTAAACATTACATCACACTCCCTAAGAAACTCTGCCTGCTGTTGTGTAACCAGAGTACCACCCGCTGCCTTGTCGTATTCGTCTTCACCCTCGCTGTTTATTCGGGCGGTAAGATGTGTTGCACTGTGATGTAATTTACAAACACTCGATTTAGCAATAATTATACAGGATGAAGCAGAGAATCACTAAGCGTTGATTATCCTTCGTTCATAATAAGTGACTGTAATTACAGGTGTCAATAATCTAACAATATACCTCCATTAAACTAACTTCTAGTGATTAAATCTGATCAATAGTCCACTGTGTAATTACATACAGGTCAACGCTGAAAGCTAAAGCAAATTCACTTCCTTGTTCCTCGTGCTGAACAGAGGCGGACATAGTGAGTGAGGTCTAAAGTACACATCTCGAGGCAACTCCTTTCAAGCATGCATTTTTTCGATCTAATAGAAAAAAATGTTTGTTTTTATACTGTTTATAAGTGTCTTCTTAAGAGTGTTAATGCTGCGGTCACCCCTGAATAATTACACTAGGTTTTTGGCCACTCAAATGTAATCCCTTCAAACACCGTACAGTACCTCAACATTGTTACCAGGTCTCATTAAAAGAGAATGTAACCTCGAGTACTCATCATCGTGCTCATAAGACTTGAGTATTCGGACACACTCAAGTACACCCTCCACTTAAGTTAAAAAATAAAAGAGAAACATTCTTGACTTTTCTATGTTCACTGAGCGTCCTTCGTATTTTCACAAATTTTTCAGTTGTCTGCTCTCGCCAACTCTGTCAAGAGGTTTATTAATTTATCAAAGTAACATAACCATTCACTGTCTTGTTTGTTGCAGGGTGAGACCATGAAAGTTTATATTTTCTCTCCAAGTACAAGTAATTCCACTAGTTGTGAGGAAATATCACACATGCACTGTACCTGTGAGCGTTGTGTTATTATGTTGTAGAGGTGAGTTGTGATAGTTGACATTTTAGCTCTATATCTATGTTTTAACTCCTTAAGTATCCACACTAATAAACCAATGTATAACCAAGTCTCTGTTGTGTGTTGCAGGAGCGTTGTGATGGTGAAGGTGTGGGTACTGTTGGTGACTTGTCTGGTCGCCTCAGCCACCTCCTTCAAGCACGCCTGGCAGAATCCAGGCTGCCACAAAGTCGGTGAGTACCTCTCTTTCCTCTCTCACTTGGGTTAGTACACGGGGCCTTCACGAAGTGTAGGTTGACAAGAGTCCTTCATCATGTACAGGGAGACAAGTGTTCCTCACTTAAGGTAGGTTGACACAGGATTCAAATCTGAAGTAGACAGATACGAGCTCCTCATCTTGGGTAAATAAACAGACGTCCCCAACTCACCGTCTAAAAACTCGTATATGCAGCGCAGCTACCGGGAAGTTATGGTGAGTGGCGAGGCAGGATCAATCCACATTAACACTATTAAGGACAACCTTCACCCGCCGTGACGCAGTGCTTAGTGGTTGTCCCACCAGATATATTAGCAACAATAATGACAACTTGTGAACGATAATATGAGAAATCTTTAAACACTATAAATTTCCATCAATAACCGATATATTTGGGAAGACTCCCAGAAAACATTTACGCGTTTTCATACGAAAGAAAATATAGTATAATATGCACACCCTGTAGCCAAAGATGACAGCATAATAAACCTCCCCATAACAACAGCCGCCTGATAAAGTTACACACGCGCTAACTTTTCTAAACGAACAAAACCCCAAACTTTGATGTTGGTCGGCAGGTGACAATAATTGTAGTGTTAGTGGTGACGCGTGACGGGGTGCTTTGGTGATGGTGGTGATAATAATATTGGTTACGGTGGTGGTGGTGGTGGTGATAGACGTTGTGGCTGCAGTGGTGATGGTTGTGGTAGGACATAACACCGGCGGTGGCGACGTTAGTATAGGTGTTGGTGATAAGTCACACTCTCTTGGTAGCCCCCTGTAGCCCCCTCTACACAACAATAATTAGGTCGTTAGATTAAAGATAATTTGTAGCGATATATCCCAACTCAATTCGAAATCACCTCAAGAAACACAAATTGATCAATGATTCCCAGCATGGGTTCACAAGTGGACGTTCATGTCTGAAAAATCTAATACCATTCTTTTTCAACTATTTTCAAATCAGTGGATGACGGACGCGATTAAGATGTGGATTACCTCGACTTTAGCAAAGCCTTCGATAGGGTCCCCCACGAATGACTAATATGTAAGTGGAGGCTCATGGAATTGGAGGAGATATTCTAAAAAGGATTAGGGCGTGGTTACAGGGCAAGAAACAGAGTCCGTATTAATGGCACCAAAACCGATTGGATTAACATCACTGGTGGAGTACCCTAAGGCTCAGTACTTGGACCATCACTATTTATAATATACATAAACGAGATATATATAGGCGTAGACAGCAATATATGTAAATTTGCTGACGTCACAAAAATAGGGCGTGTAATTAAATCTGACGAGAACTCCGATAAACTACAGGAAAATCTCAAAAAAAAAAAATTTCGCCTGGTCAGAAAAACGGCAGATGAAATTGAATATAGACAAATGTAAAGTAATTAGTCTAGTAGATGTAAACAGAGAAAACAGTTATCAGATGAACAACGTTGATGGAGAGAAAGTCGACTGTGAGAAAGATTTAGAGGGTAATGATAAGTAGGAATCTTTAACCAAAACAATAATGCGTATTTGCAATTGGGGATCGGTGGTAGAAGCGGTACCGTTCTTGCCTCGAAAAGCGAGATGTCCCGGGTTCGATTCCCGGGCCGGTGGAAGTTGTTTGGATTTACTTAACATAAGAACATAAGAAAATAAGGAGTCTGCAATAGGCCGGTTGGCCTGTGCATGGCAGCTCCTGTCGAGAGTTACTACCACTCTCTATCATCCATGAATCTATCTAGCCTCCTTTTGAAACTTTCCAGAGTTCCCGCACTTACTACAAAGTTGCTAAGCTTCTTCCACTCGTCCACCACCCTATTTGTGAACCAGTTTCTTCCTATCTCCCTCCTAAACCTAAACTTATCCAACTTGAATCCGTTGCTCCGAGTCCTATCCTGCTCGGATATTATAAGAACTTTATCTATATCCCTTTATTGATTCCTTTCACCCACTTAAATACTTCTATCATATCTCCCCGCACTCTTCGTCTTTCTAGGGAATGCAAGTTAAGTTTCTTTAACCTATCCTGATATGGAAGGTTTCTAAGTCTCGGAATCATTTTTGTCATTCTTCGCTGCACCGACTCTAGTGAATTTATATCCATTCTATAATAGGGGCACCAGAACTGAACCGCATAATCGAGGTGCGGCCTGACTAGTGCAAGATATAGTTGCAATAAGACCTCTGCACTCTTGTTAATTACACTTCTAGATATAAAACCCAATACTCTGTTTGCCTTATTTCGAACATTAACGCACTGTTTTCTAGGCCGTAGGTCCGGGCTTACAAGTACCCCTAGGTCTCTTTCACAAGCCGACTTCTCTAGGTTGATGTTGTTAAGGCTGTATACATTATAAGTATTTATTCTTCCAATACTAAGTACGCTGCACTTGCTGGTGTTGAATTTCATTTGCCACTTTTCAGACCACCCCTGCAGTTTATTTAGATCCTCCTGTAATGCATTTGCATCATGCCCCGAATTAATTTGCCGCCCTATCTTGGTGCCATCCGCAAACTTGCTTATGTCACTGCTGATCCCAGTATCTAAATCGTTTATATAGATTATGAACAAGAGTGGGCCTAGTACTGACCCCTGGGGAACCCCACTGGTTACACGGCCCCACTCAGATACTTCCTAGCTCTCATTAGTCCCTGTTCACCTAGCAGTAAAGTAGGTACCTGGTGTAAGTCGAAAGTTGCGAATTCGTATTCAGGGACAAGTTGTTGGAGCTTCCAATAACTTGAGGACATAAACCACTGACTCTTCAGGCTTCTAAGCCCTTAACTCATGAGACATAAAGGTAAGCATGAACTTAGCATGCTTCCCTGTTGGGCGCTGTAAACGCTTCTGCGCTTCACCTTACACAATGATGTAGGGGAGTGCCCCCCCCCCAAAAAAAAAAATGCGTATTTGCTCGAAACAAGGCTAACAAAGTACTTGGGTTCATACAAAGGACTGTTAGTTACAAGACTAGCTAGGTTATTCTAAAACTATATCTTGCGCTTGTGAGACCTCACTTGGATTATGCAGTTCAGTTTTAGTCACCGGACTACAGACTGGATATTGAATCCCTAGAAAGCATACAGATGAGGATGACAAGACTAATCCCGGGCATCGGAACCTTGAGTACAGAGACAGATTAAAGCATCTGAATCTGCAGTCCCTCGAGAGATGTAAAGTGAGAGGCGATATGTGTATAAATGGAATTCAAGGTTAAACAAAGGTGATGTAACAAAGGTACTGTACTTAAATTATCCAACCAGGAGCGAACTCGTGGCAAGGGTTTTAAATTAGACAAATTTAGATTTAGGCGCGAGACAGGTAAACACTGGTTTGGAAATAGAGTAGTGGATGAATGGAACAAGTTACCAAACATCATCATTAACACGAACACGCTGGGTAGTTTCAAATATAAGTTGGGCGGATATATGAGCGATAGGGGTTGGGTGTAAACGGTACTGCTCAGCATGGGCCAAGAGGCCCGCTGCAGTTTCCTCCATTGTTTTTATGTTCTTAACACAAGACCAGAATACTAAGGTTCCATAAACCTATAACGAAATCCCCAACACCCATTATTAAATCCCCACCACCTAAAATCTATAACCACACTTCAAGTAACTATAATCATATCCCCCACACCTGTCATCAAATTCCATATATCTATAACCTCTCTTCAAATACCTGTAATTCACTTCCCCACGTTTGTAATCATATCCCAAACGCCTGGAACCAATACTGTCAACACATGTGAGCACATTGCCACCAACGGTAATCAAATAATCAACACCTGGAAGGATATACCAAACACTCGTGACCTACTGTCCCTGCCTCCCTCATCACTTTCACATGAGCTACTCCAAGATTCTGAGCTGACGTCTGGCGAAGGGTCATGCTGTTTACTAAACCAATGAGGGCATGTGGATGTGGGCTACCTGCCTCACACATACTGTTATGGAAACGATTTTAAAGTGTCTCTACTGCTACGAGAACTTGTCTGTAACCTCCCACTGTTATCACGAGTTTCGACGTGTTTTTGTTAAGATGAAGTTTGTTAATAGTTCCATTGCTATGAAACATTCTAAAATGTTTTCGTTATTATGATGAAGTTTCTAAATAGTTTTCCTTGTTATGATGCGTCCCTAGTTGTTTCTGTTGCTATGGGAACGTTTCAGAGCGCTCCTATTGTTGTGAAATTATAAACGTTAAATTGTTCTAATTTTTTTTAAACGCCTTTAGTGTTAGGAAAACGTTTCTAAGACTTCCACTGCTACAGGTTGAGGTTAACACGGCAGAAGGTAACTTGGTCGTGGGGCGGACATAAACCCTAAACATTAAAAAAAAACAATGTCGATGAATTTTCCTGAACATCTCCGACGTAAAGGCCACTTTTACTTCAAGTACAAAAGTGTCTGACCTTTTCACTTTATTCGTTTTTATTTTAGTTTTTTAATTTTGTCCTTATTAGGGGGTAAATTAAACAGTAAATCAGGAAATTGGAAATTTTTAAAACGAAGAACTCATAAACGGGGTCTCAAGGAACCGCTGTTACTATATTTGCTGACTGAGGCAGCAGAGATCCCTGACTAATAATTTGTACCAAATGGGTACCAATAAACACTATTATTATTATTATTATTACAGGCAAAGAATTTACATAAGTAATAAAGTATAATTACTCTTAATGCTACTAATGTTATCATAATTATTCGCATTACCGTACTACTATTGATATTATTATTAGTATAATTATCATTTTCATTGCCACTGTCATCATCATCATCATCATCATCATCATTGCAATTAGAATATTATGATTATTCACCATCATCATTACTAGCACTCTGCTCTCCATTATCCTTAACACTCACCACTGTAAGCGAGGCCTGAAATACCAAGTTAGTGCCTTAACACCTAACATATCGTGTGTCTATTATCATTACATTACTACAGTACAAACAGGGCATCACGACAGAGACCGT